GGGGGGGGGGGGAGGTTGATGGGCACGCTTGGAATTGCCTGAACCATTATTGACCAAGCAGAAGGTCAACATGGCTGGATATTGGCCAAGTTCGTCTGTCCGTTTTTATCATGGACCAAGACGAGGCCAATAGACAGCCATCTTGATCGAATATGCTTGGTAAATAAACGACACGGCCTGGGACTCAAATTACTCACACTCGGAGTGGGAGACAGTCTCTTGCTCCCGTTGACATCAATACCCGAGAAAGAAAACAACGGGAGCAAGAGACTGTCTCCCACCCCGAGTGTGAGTAATATGAGTCCCAGGCCGTGTTGCTATCTTTCAACGGTAACGTGGAGTTCAAGACGAGGATCAGTCTATGGCTTTAGACGGGAAAGATTGCAGAGATTTGCGACCTTTAATTCACTCTCGGTGCAAAGGCGTCTTGAAGCAAGATAACGAATGGAAGGGAGAACTATCGTGTGTTACCTAGAAGGAATTTGGAGGCGATTGGAGCAGTAGGAGCGAATTTACGGCCGTTTTCCTACAGTGGATCAGTCGGGCCGCTTCGCTGGAGTGCCCAACCTTGGTAAACCTTTATATAGAGAAAAAACCGTTACATAAAACCCATAAAACGGCCATAAATCGGCCCGTGGACCACACAGGAGAGACGTAACACACATTTTAAATAAGGTAAGCTGTTTTTTTTTTTTTTATTGAAATCCTTTCATTTTCGTAGGTTACAGAAACGATATTTTTTTTCCCCATACAAATCCTTATATTTTGAATGTTACGCAACAATGCCGATACTCGCCGATGCTCACATTTCGAGCTTGGGCTACCTGTGAGACAACACGAACACAAATAAGCAATTTCAAGATTAAATGAACTTGCAAGTTTGAGTAAAGCGCGCAGCTGGCGGGGGGGGGGGGGGGGGGGGAGGGAAAGAGACGAGGTCTGCGACCGAGAAACGATGTTCTCACAACTTGCAAAGCGGTCACGCTGCGTTTCCCACAGTAAATATTTTTAGACTTTTTAGAAGCAAGAAGCGAACCGGCAGAGGAAATCAGAAATGCTTAAAAAAGTGAAAAAAATAATATCATGCATCTTTCTTTTTCTTGCATATTGGATTTGTCTTTTGGTACTGAAATTGCGGGGGAAAGTAAAACGCAACCGTGTTAGATCTTAACCAACAACAACGCGCTCGCTCGATTTACAGGTTACATCGTTTTTGCCGGGCAAGGATAACTTGATACTGATAAAAATTACTGAAGAAAGTGTCAAAATTATCGGAAGCAAGTATATTCAGAGAGCTTTATAAATGTGAGCTTACAGCTCTACATATCATAACTGAAAAAAGATTCACACTTCATAACATTTCACTTCGTTTATTACGATCAGTCAACACCTTGGATCCAAAGTTAAAATTTAAAACGATCCTAACAGACAAATCACAACTACTACTGAAAGCTCTGTACCTTGAAGCGACTTAACTTTCCTAAGGTTTGCAGCAAAACACTGCTTGATAGCTCAACTCTTCCGCGGTTCTTATAAGCTATACGGAGGGAAATTGTTTAACAGAAAAGGAAAACCTCACACTATGTCTGAAAAGAGACATAAAATCAGTAAATTTGCGAATTACCAAAATATAATAGTGAGAAACAGTCCCGCCTTCGAGCGCCATGTTTTTGTTTCTTCTCAGGACTGATCTATGGTTTTTGACGTAATGCGCATGATCAGTACAGAAATCCGCTGGCAAAAGCCTTGCTGATCTGTACAGCCCCCGAAATGATCCCCACCGCGAAATGATATCCAACCCTGAAATGATCCCCAAATCGACCCCGAAATGATACCGACCCCGAAATGATCCCCATTTCTCTTCACGTCGCCCCCGAAATTATTTCTTGGAATGGAACTTGTATTCCGTCACGGAATTATTACAAACCTGTTGCAGCGTTTACCTTCTTAAATCGCGTTTAACATTTCGCTACAAATTAAAAACTTTAACAGTATTTTTCCTTCTCCCCTTCCCATGAGACCCCGCGCGCGCCTCAACCTAATCCCCCAATCGTCTCTCATCCGAAAAAACACTTAAATAGCGACTGGGTACGAGTCTTAGTCAAGAAGACTTTAGCAGCGACTGATCAAACAAAGTGAAATAGTCTTTGAGCAAGATTGATCGTATACAGTATTTGCAGTGTTTTTTTTGTTTTTTTTTTTACTTTAATAAGACATTTCGCTACAGTTTATGTGATTTTTTAGCGGAAAACAGTAGATTAGCGGAAATACATATGAAAACGTAGAACCACATCATTTTAAGATTTTAAAAAGTGTTAAAACACCATTTTTAAAATTCAATATCCGAGGCATGCAGTTTTAACATCATTTTTAGAATTTAACATCTATGCAGTTTTCTCTATAACCCGGGCTATAATCACCTAAGGAATAATTTAAAAAATGTTATGTTTCTTGATATCATCAGTTGCAGTTCATGGTGTTCCTAAAAATAGACTAAACTTTGTGTATTTTTTTTTATAATAATATTTTCCGGCGTTTAATCCAGTTCAAAGTGTAATCCCAAATTAATGTCATGTGGGCAAGTGAAAGTGAAGCTTAAGTTATAATGTTGTGCATTTTGCACGATCCATAGTTCTAAGATATCACTCCATTCCTAAAATTAAATGGGGATCATTTCGGGGTGGACTTGAAGAGAAATGGGGATCATTTCAGGGTTGGGGATCATTTCGGGGTCGGGATCATTTCGGGGTCTGTACAGATCCCTTCAACGGCATAAAAACGGGGCGATTATATATTTCCTTCCCCATGTAAATGAAATTTCTGCCTATGATAAACGTCATGCTACCGTTTGAAAACCAAGAGGTAAACTAGCCCGCGTGAACAACCTCTCTCGATTCGGGAGGGACGGAGGGAGGGGGGCACGTGGGACAGAGAGAAAGAGAAAAAACGCTTAGGCGCGCTTTTCAGTAATTTTATATCTGCATTGGAAAAGTCGATGGAAACGCCATTGAGCTAACGTTCTTGTGTAAGAGCGAAAGTTGGAGGGGAAGCCTTCTGTTCCCGCCACGGCTTCTGCGTTAAGCAAAGAAACGCTTAATACGCAGAATATTCCAAACAAATTTAGGTTTTCAACTGGACGTAAATTAAGTGGGATTTCTCAAGGATTTTCATTTAGATGGAGAAGTCTAACTGTGTGCCTCTTATTACCCGACAAAAAAAAACTAACACCAAAACAACAACAAAAAACATGTGATCCGTAATTTATAGGATTGGAAGTTACGTCATGGGTAGCAAGATATATATCATATGACTTTCTTTTCGCGGGGCAAGAACTTGGTGCCTTACAAACGATTTTACAGAACAAGCAAATAAAAGCGCACTACATGATTCTCTCAGTTGAAAAACAAAACTATTTTATCGTTTTGATGGGCGCCCTTGTAGCGGCATGAGTGAAGGAAAAAGAAAGATCTCTGGTCCGTACACAAGTTACAGAGCGAAAATTTACCAATCACAGAACGAGAGATGACTTAACTACAGTATAAACAAGTATCAGTTACCTACAAAAATAACTTCTTCTGGCCATAAAACCTTGCGTAGTCTCGTTTTCTTTTCTTCGGTTCATGATCGTGGTTAAACGTTTCATAACCAGTTGTTAATTTTGTTTGCTGCTGTGGCGATAAATCTAAAATCAATATCAATATCGTCAAACAATATTAACCTTCATAGCTCCCTTTGACGTGTTGTCCCCCACTCCGTCCCCCTCGCCGTTCCCCTGCCCGTTCCACGCTCCGTTCCTCGCTCCTTTCCACTCTCGTTCGCCGCTCTGTCCCCTGCTTCGTTACACACTTTGTTCCCCACTCCGTTCCCCGCTCCGTTCTCAATTCCGTACCCCGCTCCGGTTGCGGCTCTGTTCCTCGCTCCGTTCCCTGCTTTATTCTGTTCATTGTAGTCAAAAAAGGACTAAGTTCTATCTTCTCATCACTCTTGACCGATGATAATATAACATGTAGTACACCAATGATCTCATACAGATCCAAAATTTGTTGGAAAGCCCATTGACCTAAAATAAAAAAGAATGATGTTAAACTCATATGTTGCAAATTGAAGTTATTGAAGTCATATTCAAATAAACCCGAGAGGTTTTTTGGGTTTTTGTAATTGCTTAAATTGTAATAACCACAACGACGATCATATCTGAACATTTAAAATTTGTATTTCCGCAGTTCACATCATCTTCACGTTTCATTCTTTTCCCAGGTTAAGATAAACCCAACAAACTGCCCTGGTCCCAATGTACATGTATGGGTCTTCGTAGCTCAAAGGTAGAGCACTGCAGCGCTAACGGAGTTCTAAAATCTTCTATGTTGTAAAATAAAATTATTTTGTAGTTCAACGGTGAATATTAGAGAGACTTACTAGAGTAACGTTCACGTCAAACGATCAAGTTTTCTGCTTTTACGTGTCGTTTATTGTTCTTTAAACGGCAATAACGCCAGGAGTATCCATAAGGATTGTTTTGAGCTGTTTTTATCTTATCATTTTCTATTTTGAGAATTTTCAACTCGAATTTGACCTTTGCCGTTTGCCGTAAAGGTGACTCTAAAGAGGTTAAGCATCACGTTTATGTCAAACGGCAAACGCGATTTGTACCACGTGACCAAGTTTCCCCATTACTTGTCGTTTACTGTTCATTATTTCTACACATAAATTAGTAGTTTTGCCCAATAATGATCCATAAGAATTGTTTTGAGCTGTTTTTTTCTGCTCATTTTCTACTTTGAGAAATTCTCAACTTGAATCTGACGTTTGCCGTTTGCTGCATACGTGAAGCTTCAACTCCCTTCTATCTCGCCATTGGAAACCGCTATTGATGTCCCCGAAACCAAAATAATCAAAAACCAGAAATAAGAACAATGCTGGACTGTATTTAATTCTTTGAAGTCGTATACATGCAGCAATCCTAAACTGTACGAGTGAACGTGAACAAGAACTAGGTTAGATTACAAGAGCCCGATAAAGCGCCGGAAATATCAATTCACCATTTTCACGTAGACCATAATGAACCTTGTTTACCCCCCAAAATTTTGCATAATCATTGTTTCCAGGTTCTCAGTTGTCCCATTAGAAATTGAAGACAATGGTTATGCAAAATTTGGGGGGTAAACAAGGTGCATTATGGTCTATGTCCAAATGGTGATTAGAGCCTAATAGAGACAATAGAGACAACACCATGTCATCACATCCGCTCTTGCTCGCATTTTCACTGAGTAATCATGTCACTTAAGTGTCACCGAAATGTTCCATTTGAAAACTGATTAAACAGTGTCACGTCCATTTCCCGCGTAACAATTGATACTTTGTAGCGTAGAACCTGTTGATAGTGTTTTATTTACTTATTTTATTTATTTAATTTCCTGCATTATAAAGATGTATGCTTTCGGGGTAATGCGTATCAAATATAACTTAGAATTTGTAAAACTGTCCATTTTATTTAAAAAATAATAAGGAATAAATTATTCAAATAGATGCTGATAAGGGCACGAAATAAAAACAGATATAATTTACAAGTAGACAAATCAGAGCTTTGGAGCGTAAATTTGAGTAAATTTCAAATGCAAATTTCATCATTTTACATTGAGTCTAGTATTGCGACAGACCTAACTCACGACTGAAATATATTCTCAAAATTATCCCTTATTTTAAGTACAATTTATCCATATTTACTATCAGTCTATAGCATTCCTTGCTCATCGATTGTTTGGTAAAGGTAAACTGAGATAATAAGTGGCTTTTATGAATTTTCACACATTACCCATTTCATTGACTTGGCTTTGTTTACAGAATAAGCGGCTATTATAAATTTTCCCTTTCTTCCAATAATAAGATAAGCTTAATCGGACCTGAGCACGAAAAATCAGGTTGAGCCGAAAATCGTTAAAACGATAAGTTCCTAGGAAGTCTTATCCCACCAGTTTGAACTATGAAACGTAAAAATCAGGAGGTTGGTGATAAATTGTAGTTATTTCAAAATATGATGCAAACCAGCGAGGAGGTAAAAATGTCTTTTAATTAGTTCTACATCAGTTTATCATTGTAACACTTCACTGATTTAGATGATGGGATTACAAACGCTGAAGCTATATTAACTATAAAATAGAAAGCCCGATGCAAATACCGCAAGTTCTTAACTCAGCTAAAGTTGACGAACATAAGAGAGCGTCTAATCGCCCAGTAATTTTGAAATATCTTGGCTGCCCGTATGCAAATGTTTTAAATGGAATAGCCGAGATTATCAGTTATAAACCTGTACACTTTTAAGCAGAAAAAATAATTTGCTTTAGAAGATAAATTAGACATTCTTGCCGAAAATACCATTAAGCTCCAGTAGTATTTCCCCTATTTTTTAAAACTCAAAGTTAAACTACTCATAGTTTTCGTTTTAGTCTAGATATTTGTTAAATTTTACTGTTTAAGTGATCCTGAAATCATACAACATCTTCTTTATACTATTGTGCCCCCAGGGAAGTCAAAGACCTCACCTGTCTACCCCCACTAAGTAGATGTACCTTTAAGAACATTACATATCAGCTCTTTCCTGCTCCTTAACCATCTCACTGCTACCCTCTCAGGCAATTTTTTTGATTGTGCTGAACGTGTTATATTTTCGCGCTAAACCTTATTGCCACGTACTCCTAAGAGGTACAATGAAGACCACAGTAGACTTTCTCTCATCGGAAGCAAGATGTCTACCGAGCATCAACTTCGTGTACAATTCTTCTCGATTTTCTTCATAGTTGCTCTCATTTACCAAGACACTGAAGGTATGAACGACAGCTAAATTGATGTTTTTATGTTATTGAAGAACTGTTTTATACAAACATGCTTGTAAAATTTTGATTTAGTGATGAAGGAGTGTAAGTTACAAGAAGGCTTTGATTTCACGGGGGATGAAGCATTGTTCACAAGTAGTTACTTCTTAATTAACACAGTATCTTTATGGTTAAAAAATGTCGAATAGTCGCACAGTGGTACTTAATAGTTCGTTCTTATTTCCACCACAGGACTCAGCTTCAAAGCAGGAAAATTCAATGTGACCACAACTTTGAGTCTGTTTGCCTGTAAGAATGTTTCTTTTGAGGAGCCTTTTATCGGTGGACAAGAAATTAAAATCTTTATTTCTAAAAGCCATGCAACAAAAAGTTCTAGTCGTGGAAATGGCGCAGCAATTTGGGTGGAATCTGTGAATAACAAGGCATTTACTGTCTGTGTTTTGGAGTACGGAGATGGCTCAAGTGGCGCTTTGCAAGTGAACTGGATGGCGCTGCAATCTGTACCTGCTGGCGCTCAACTAGGCACAGCTTCTTTAAACTCCTGGACCACGGGGACAAAGTGTAAAAGGATCGCTTTTGAAAAGGTTTGATTTACTTAAATTTTTTTTTGCTAAAATTTGTTTTAATGGCATAAAAAGTGAGTTTGTGTGTAAGTTTGAAGTGTGCTATAATTAAATATGTTTATATATGTATTTTTCTTACAAAGAAAGTAACGCGCATTTTTCCCAGAAGTCGCTTAGCCTTATGGTATTTATGACGTCTTATCTTGCTACCATAGCAACCTTCCATCACCAAATGTTAGCGGAATGTTGCTAAGGAATAAAATGAGCAGTTACTTGAAAGGAAAGGTTTAGGCTCAAAATCCGTTTTGAAAATATTGGCCAAAACCTGTGCGCCTCAACCACTTCAGTAGTTAAATTTTAAGTTTTAAATCTTCAATCTCTTTCTTGTTCTTAATTTCTTTTGATAGAAAAGAACAAATTAAGAACAAGAAGGAGATTAGAATGAAGAAAAAGAAATAGAGGGGAAAAGATGGGGCTTTAAACGACCAGAAAGAGTAAACTGAAGCCGCTTAAGAAGAAAATAAATTATATAAAAATTTAGATCCAGAAAATTAAACAACTTTAAATTTGAGAAAAAAGTGGGTCAAGTAAATATATTACCAACATCGAAATTCATCGATAAAGTAACAAACGGATTACAAAAAAAAAAAAAAGAAAAACTGGGAACAATAGTTTATGTCAGGTAGATTCATTTACAAAGGATGCAGGACGAAAAGAAGGAAGCATAAAGTAACAAACTGATTACAAAAAAAAAAAAAAGAAAAACTGGGAACAATAGTTTATGTCAGGTAGATTCATTTACAAAGGATGCAGGACGAAAAGAAGGAAGCAATATAATTTTTTAACAAATATAGAAGACACTGAAGCCAATAAGGATGATTAAATTTTACTTAGAAACTTTGAAAATCAAGGAAATGTCAAAAAATCAAAAGCAGTAAATACCAAATATTGTTTCAGAAGAACTATAGAGGATTATATTGCTGATAAAGGTAAAAAGTCTGACACGGAATACCTCGCTCATTTTTTATAGAAAACTCTTTTTATTCATTCAATTAGATCTCACATTCTATTTTCTTTTAAACTTTTTATCGATATTAGATAATTTGATTTTATAAATTAGCACTCTGATCAAATCGCTCTTGTCTTTATTTATATTATCTTCTTTTCTTGTTTTTGTATTTGACCCTTTCTCTACTACAAACCAAAGAAATATAGTTACAAAAACATTCAAATTTCCGTATGCAAAATCCTAACAAATAAATTGTACTTTTGCAAGGGTCGAATGACGAAGAGGATCCATATATTTCAGTGGTAACATTATAGGTTTTCGCCCACTACGTGCGAAGTGCAACCTCGCTCCCGGGACGAGGTTGAGTGAGGTGATCACTGATTTTCGTAAATAGTTAAACTTATATGACGCTTCACTGTATCATCCCTGGATCGGCAACACAGCTGCTCTCTAAAGCAGACATACTAGCTTCAACACTCCCATTTATTACTTTTTTTAGCTGAAAATACATAAGTTATGGCTGATATTAAATTCTCTACTTTTTCGCTTCTTCAGGTTTTCTTGGCTCTTCCAAATATCATCGTTACAGTTCGTCACCAGGTTCTTAAAAGACCTCAAGACGCTTTGGCCGTGTGGGTAGAAGACTTGCGCAAGGACAGCTTTAAACTTTGTGCCAGAGAAACTAAGATTTTTGATGGAATTCATAAAAACATTAAAGTGGTGAGTAATATTGCAGTTACTTGATTTCTTCAACTACTTCTTGTTTTGTTATCAGTGGTGTCTTTAAACGCGATAGAACAAATTTTATTTTCTGTGATCTTCGCAATTTTAGAAACAACAAGTTAGATACAGATTAAAAAGAGCTGCACCACATTTAATTTAACCATATGAAATTTGGGGTTTTATATGTCACAAGTCGTGATTACATTCCACATACCTATATTTCCTTGCACTGCTACTCCTTTTGTTATGAAAGCCAATGTCTTAATTCCTAACCGAGTACTAATTTTGTTTTAAGTATCATTTAAGAGCACACCGTGTCAGGACGCACGTGGCATTCACAGCATCATTGGATAACTTCATATCTTTACCTCTTTCCTGCAGGATTGGATGGCTTTTGTCAAATTGAAGACTGACAACTTCTCCTTGACTAACAGTCTCGTGTTTACAAACAACAACTCACCATCAAACAAAAAAGACAACAACGCTGTCTGTCAGGTATATCGTCATGTTTAACGGTGTTTAACTTTGACCACTCTTGTTTTCCTCTTTCCTCTGCTTGTTTTTGTCATTCAGGTTATGGATTAACTGATATCAGGGGCACCCACCTATGTTTTTGTCCTAAATACATTGAAACCCTTTTTAGCCTCTACAGAGCACTTTTAGATCTCTAGAAATGCATGCTAAGTGGCCCTACAAAATTTGTAACTGTTCGTGCATCCTAGGGGAACTTCATGAGTCTTTTCGAAATTGCAAGGGCTACAGTGTTATTATCCAGAAAATTTTAGATGCAATTTATGGTATTGCGAAAGTGAAAATTTATCTGATTCCTCTCTTCATCAAATTTTTTTAATCTGAAAATTTTAGGCTTCCTTTTCGTAGGGCATTTATTAGATAAGCTTCGGAAATTGTACATGAATATAACGGTTATTAGGAAATTTTTAGCCGTCCTCAAGTTATAAAAAATCCTAGGCCAAATCTGCGTCTCCGAACAGATATTTCACAGAAAGCAGTCGTTGTGTGCCCCTGTAATATCTTTGCATGAATAATTGTATCCTTTCAAAAGAAAGTCTCATTTTCCACTTGTATTTAGTTGGTAGGAGGACTGAATCAGAAAATGAATGGTAACATTTTATAGTCTTTCTTGGAAAGGAGCTATCTATTTCAAATGATATTTAATATCATTTGTTTTGTCCTGTTTTCAGAAAGTCAACTTCCAGGATGTCTTTTATGCTCCTCCCGTTGTATTGGTGTCTCCAAGACTTGGTTACAATAACAACAAATCACGTTTCTCAGGATCCGAACCATGCAATGCAGTTACTGCCTGGGTTGAGGTTAGAAACATAAAGTCTCCTTACTCTTGCTGTGGTTCTAATGAAGAGAACTTTTTTAAAAGTCAATAAATTATTCCTGATTGATCGTTGATTGATCGTTATTCCTGATTGATCGTTGTCCTTTCACTCACGTTAAAAGCCTAGATTTTTCCACCAACGTATAGTCTACAGGGGTTGATATTACTAATTTTAGTTTCTAATTTTCATATAAATATGGCAAATATCGTTCAATACAAAAAATTTTCTGCAGACTTGTCAGATGAAAACTGACCTTTTAACAGTTTTGTACTCGTTTGGTTCTTTAAAATGGAGGACTTAGACATTTTAGTATCATAGGTTCTTAACAATTGCTATATGCGAATTGTTACTCTACTTGCACTAACCCTAATATTTACCTTCGATAAATCGACATCAATAAATCGACAAGTCAGTTGAATTTGAAAACGTTATTGTATTACTTTTAGGTTTTACTAAAATACAATGATAACCTTTACTCTAGTGCAACAAAATGCTATATTATGTGGACTGTGAACTTAAAGTATTTCTTTCGCTGCTTAGCAAACATCTACAAACGAAACAGAAGTGTGTGTGAGAAGCTACAACAATGACGCCAACGATAAGGATATCATAAAGGTCGATTATCTGGTAATTGGAGGTACGTAATAAATTATGTAAAGTAAAATGAGGGAACAGTAACGACTTTCATCTGTAGACAATCAAGGTGCTCTCCTAACAATTATACATAATAGTGATTAACTGTACAATACAAAAATGTATATGTTTCGATCAATTTCCATTGTTTCAAATCATTCAGATTATACATTACAAGGCCTCAAAACCAAAGAAAGTGAGATTGATAGCTAAGTTAAAATCAGGCGCGTAGCTGAGGTTTGAGAAGGGGTGTTGGTACTGATACTAATATTTCTTAACAGCGGGAAATACTGCGGGCGCGAGCCCCTAGGGGTTTCTTCAGGCAATTGCTGCCCCAGAATATTTCGAAATCTCGAATACTGGAAATGCTATTTTCAGGATTCAGTAGTCTCCACATGAATATTTTAAACGTGATCAAGTCTAAGATAACAGGTACTTTTCGTCATGACAACAATATTTCGTTTGACTTGGAGCATTCACACATAGTGATACATACCGCTATGTACACGAAACGTTTTACAAAATTCGACGTGTGCTGCAAGGTATCTCGGAGCAAAAGCTTAAGCCCCCCAGTTCCCCAGCTCCGCTCTGTTTGTACTTGATATACAAGATAGCCAGTGAGGAAAGCCTAGCCGCACCCATGGCACATCTCCTAACCTTCTCTTTGTGCTGATTGAACGCTCGCACCCGCACGATGTCACGGGAAGAGTAGCCGCAATCTTGAAAAGAATGTACGGGTTAGAAAAATCATCAGGATCACATGCTTTCAAGGACGCAGCGCATGAATGAGCCGTAATTATCCTAGCTTGCACCTTCCTCTTCCAACGCTCAAATCAAATTACTAAGTCAGTTAGCTGCTGAGCAGTGATTTGGCTTTCCTGAATTACAGATGGAACTAACCCGAGCAGCTTACTGACCCTTACTGGCTATCATGCATATCAAGTACGATATGCTTATAGATCTGGACGAAGTTATCGATTTATTTTGAGGCCCAGTATATCCTAGTGACCTAGTATTATATGTGGTGAAAATAATCCCGCCATTGAGGTTATTTCCTTAACAGGCGTTCCGTATTTGACAAATGGAGTCTCGAAAGACGAAAGGCTGGGAATACGATTTTAGGGGGACCTAGGTGATGCGTGTTTAATACAAATTGACGTTTGACGCTGCTTTCAGTACAAAGACAGCGGAGCCGGGGAACGGGGGCGCTTAAGCTTTTGCTCCGAGATACCTTGCAGCACACGTCGAGTTTTTTTAAAACATTTTGTGTACTTAGCCGGTATGTATCACTATGTATGGAAAACAAACTTTGAGTGTTTTTAGTCCTCCATCATTGACCTGCAAAGGGGGTTCAAACCCCTCGAACCCCCCTCCTACGCGCCTGAAAATTCAGCAATATACGACATATATGGAAGAGCTCATGTGCTTTAGGCTGTGGTCACATTATACCGCGGGGTATCTTTTCATGGCGCCACGAGAAGCTATCCTGTATATTGTGTGAACACCTACATGTATCCAACATGTGACTCAGGTCCACTTTAGAGATCGGCGCGGCACAGCCAGACGCTCCGTCTCAGAAATCACGCCGCCACAACCGTTTTTGCGTGTGAACAGAAGTCCTAACCGACATGGTTTTCTTGGCGGCGCAAAAGCTATCCGGTATGGTGTGAACATAGCCTTAACTTTTATCCACTTCCCTGATAACTGAAAATTCCAGGCTGTTTCATCTATTGACGAATTCGAAATGAATGAATCTGAAATGATGCCATCCAATTCCAGCACTTGTATGTTTGTCTTTTAGATTTGGATCCTTGTATAGATGTAACATGTCATTATCACAGTCTGTGTAAGGCTTTTGGACATAATGATGCACGCTGTGTGTGTTTGGACAGCTGTCCAACTTACAAAGAACCTGTATGTTCATCCAATGGCACAACATACGACAACAAATGTCTGTTTGAACAGGAAGTTTGTCTCAATCGACTAAACTTTACCGTACAACATCCTGGCAGCTGTGAAGGTCAGCAGTTTTGTTCCCCTTTTGTGGTGGTCAACATGCACCTTTTCACTGAATCCTGTTAACCTTGATTGCTGGACTGATAGTAAAATTTTTTTTTTCTTCATTTCCGTTTACTTTCCCATTCTTTTTGGGTAAAAGTTGTTGAGTCAACAAGGGATTTAAGTTTGTTACTTTAAGCCTATAACTTATCTTTGCAACGCCTTTGTAGGATTTCCTCTTCAGCGTGGTCGCCATCACATGGCCCATATTCCATCTTTGGGTTATTCTCACTGTCAAGTGATTCGTTTCGAGCCTTTTGTGTTTTATCCTGACAAATCCATTGAAGTGCAGATAACTGTGAATCATATGGATACCACTGACAAATCGTATGTTCATGACGCGGCGGTATCGTGGATTGAAAATGTGAATAACGGCGGATTTACTGCCTGTGTAATGGCAGCCGGATATAACGAACGAAGGTCGTATGCTAACGTGACAGTTGATTGGATGGCGTATCAAGGTGCTCCAGTGGGGGGCGTGACTGGTGAACTGCGCATGTTTCAGTGGTGGACAGGAACGACTTGTGCAACTGTCAAATTTCCCACTGTAAGTTGCCCTGATCTATTTCTGAATTCTCTCTTTTTCAAAGCTTTTATCATTATAAACATCATTCAGTTGAATTTTTAAAAGTGAAACGTTTAATTAATTAGCAATTAATGAATGAGGCTGAGAAAGATATGAAGAATTAAGCAGGTCGAGGAGGGCGTTATCCACCGAGCCCGAAAGCCGAGGTGGATAACACCCTCCGAGATCTGGTTAATTCTTCATATCCTACGAAGCCGAATTTATCAATTGCTTTATTATTTATTCAAAATAATTCCTAGTTTAACTAAAATATGTTTACCAGCATCGATGTTAAGTTCATCTTCGATAGTGTACGTTTAGGTTTGTCCAGCTCCGCAAATATTCTCCAAATAGCAGGTGTCGCAGTCCGAGTTGTCTTCTTGCTGTTTTTGCCATGTTTTTAGCTATTATTTCGCGTAGTTAAAGTTGTGGCTTTGAATCTTGAACCGGGTGAAATGTCCGCCATTTTATTTTTTCACAACCAAAACAACTCAACTTCGTCCCCAGGTCTTCTCGGTAACGGTGCCTTAACCTGTAGCGGGCTGCATTTTCGACGTCATTTCCTCGTTAAACACAAAATTCTTCCACATTTGGTCATCAGTAACTGGTTATGGTGAATTATGCGTGCCCTTTTAACCAATCAGAATCGGGGAAATATTTTGAATGAATAATAATAGATCTTTTCACATCATATACAAGCTTTTGTCTTATCGTCAAATTACAGGTCAGGGTGCTTTATATTTGTGATTTAGAAACCTAAACAATAAAATAATAAATGAAATGAAATAAAATATACAGTGATCATTCTTTCACTAATTAACCACATTTAGTTATGTAAATTCGAAGAAGTGAATCATAACGTTCAAACTGTCACTTTTAATAACTTTCCTGAATCTATGAAGATCACCATTCTCTCTTCGAATTGATAATAAAGTAGATAACTAACTAAATAAATAGCAACAGATGATAACAACTTCAAATTTGGAGTATGCCAAGAATTTTATCAGAGTCACAAATTTTCTGTGTTATTTGCAGGGGAAATTTTCAGTCAAACCTTCAGTCTTTGTGACGTCAAAGCATATGTTAGGTCCTGATTTTGCACTGCGACGATCACATACCTAACTTCTACATTGCTTTAGTAGTACATTTCAAACATACTCTCTTGACGTCTTAATACGACGATCACACCGAGATATTTTTGTTGTAAGTATGGTGTATGTTATTTCAAATGTCAAACATGGATCATGCATTGGGCTGCCACGGGCTTAAGCTACAGGTAATTCTACAGATACCTTGAAAAGAAGAGCCCATCGTTGTTATCATTTTAGAATAAGTTATTAAAATGCGCAAATTACTTTTCAGCATTCTCCACCATCGCACTAGCCCCCCCGCAGACATTCTTAGGCGTGCGTCACGCGTTCCTTCCTCACGAACGTTCGTGAGGAAGGAACGCGTGACGCACACCTAAGAATGTCTGCGGGGGAGGCTACCATCACACCTTATGGCCATTGTTTTTGTTTATTATATCACCTATGCATGCCGGTCGATTAACCAGAAATAACGCGTTGTTGATTTTATTTTCAGAATTGGCTCGCCTTTTCGGATCTTCCCAGCCCTCCCTTTTCAGAACACAACTCGATCTACTTTGCAAATGATAAAAATCCCGACAGCAGACATTATAATGCATTTTGCAAGGTCAGTATCAGCGTTTGCGTTTGAATCCAAATCTCAGTTAAAAAATCTTTTTCATGGTAGTTATCCAAGTTTAATTACAGACCTTTAATGTCAAGGTGTTAAACCTGTAACAGTCTTAGCAATATACATCATACTGACGATACCATAGGTCACACATTCGCTACTTCTATACCTCAGTCACCCCTACGATGCGTTCATTTGTCGGTATAAACAGTTTTGAGAATTAAATGTAAGTATTCCGTGAAAGGAGACTGATAGAGCAAAAGCATAAAACCCACTTTGAATGGCAATGTCAAGTTGTCAAAGGTTTAAAGCTTAGTTGCAGCCTCTTTTACAAAAGGCTTCTTGTGTCGAGTTGAGTGAACTATCCTCCAAATAATGTTGGCTTCAAAATCTCTTTCGTCTTACTGTACTTTTTTCACAGATTTGAGCTTCGCAGTTTGGAATTGTAATATATATAGCGTCAGCTCGGTTTATTCTGAACGATGCTAACGTTGATATGATTGGTATGCTTTTCCCAAGAATTTAAATGCAAAGCTAGTTTAGAAACAGTCATTCACGATTATCTTAAAATCGCCAGGAAAAGAAACAACCCCCTTTTTTCCAAGGTGGAGCAAAGACTAATCAATTAAAAACCCGATATTCTCAAATGTTACTCTATTTCCTTCTTACCCCTATATAGTTGAGGACACTTTAAAACAGTATTTATGAACAGTTTAGCAAGGTCCAGCAATCCAGACTCTTACCAAAGGATTCTGTCAATACAAATAAGCTTTTTGATTTTCAAGAAGGCGATATCCTGGTTATACTGCCCCTTCAACAGAGTTAAAATATTTCTTTATCTTTCATAGGAGGCGATCTTTGCCGAAACTTATAACACAACGCCACACGTCTTCGTTTCTGCTTCTCATTCAACAAAAGGAGGGAATCAAAGTCCAGTTCATAACAGCATAGCTGCCTGGGTGGAGGTTGGTAACTAGTGATGTTAGGATATCAAATTTCATGTTAAATTAAGAGTACTATTGTAGGACCCAATTAACTCCTTTTTCGCGGACGAATCTCATTTTGTGCGGAAAAATACACTTGAACGCCGATGAATTCATCTCCTTTTGCTTTATCCCATGAATAAAATTCGGTGGAATTTTATTGAGATATGGCCTTGCAGGTACTATTTTTTAATAGGTGGTTTAATCCTTTTGACAGGTTTTCTAAATATTTTTAGGGCGATGAATGCCTTGCCTTTTGATTGGCTGATTAAAAAATAATCATTGGTTGATTCATGTTGTCAAAGGAATAACTCCCCTGTGAACCACTAAGTCGTAAAGCCGTTATGCAAGTTCTTTTTCCTGCCGATTTCATTGTCAAACAATTTGTCCAGTTCGGGTTCACTGACTTTTGTTGCGTAAATTCTGCTTAATCAGTTCGAAGGCAAGCTGGCTCTTCCTAGCACCTAGTAACCAATATCTTTACCTCAGGCCACTTCTTCTCTTCCAAAATTCAGTTATTTTGCTTCGTTCGACCACTGATTTATTTTCCCTCCACCACCACTAAAAACAGAACCTTATTTCTATTGTTTTCCTCTACCACCACCACTACAACATCTCTATTGTTTTCCCACCACTACCACCACCACACCAGTTCTATTGCTTTGCCACCACTATCAACACCACCAAATTTCTATCGTTTTCTCTACACCACAACCACCACCAAATGTGGCAGTGGTGGTGATTGAGGGGAAAACATGCATGACTGCCATTACTTATGAAGCGCCTTTTCTTTCAATTCAGTATTAAAAGTATTATTCTCTCTTGCAATCACTTATTTCAATAACAGTGAAATGATTTCAATTGATTTTTTTTTCGTTTCGTGCACTGTATGTTTTCTGAACTACCGTCCTTCACAAAGTCAGATGAATTCCTCACCCCTTTAAGAGCTGTATTTAGGCCAGTTTCAAACATCGAACTTCACGCCGATGTTCCAAATGTAATGCCAATGGAGGAAATCTGTTGTTGCCGCTCTTCTTAACTAAATTCAGCACATGTGAATTTAAAAGCTTCAGTAAAACGGGCCTAATGCACATTTTGTACTAATGCGTAGTGTATTAATACTTACAGTTCATTAGCAGGAAAGGCTTTCGCGTTTGTGTCAAAGAACTGTATGAGGCAAAATACGATCCACTCTTCATATCCTACACAGTTTTATCAGGTAAGAGCTTTAATGCAAAAAAGAGAAGATTGTTACAGCAGTGCACACTTTAAATGTCCCTAGTTTTGACTCAATGTTGCGTTTAGATATCTGTCCATATGGATGGGATTACTTCAGTGGATACTGCTATTTAACAAGCTCTGTATACGCCCCTTGGGTGACTGCTGTGTCCAACTGTTCCGCCATGAGCTCACATCTGGTAACAGTGCACAACCAAGAGGAAAATGTGTACATACAGCACCGTCATAATGGCGAGCGATCATGGATTGGCCTAAATGACCGAAGCGTCGAGGGATCGTTTGAGTGGACAAACAAGGAAATAAGTAGCTTTCATTTCTGGGCTCCGCAACAACCAAACAACTTGAAAAACGAAGACTGTGTCCACACCCTTGGTGCAGAAGATGGCTACACTTGGAACGATGTGTCATGTGATAAATGCTATAATTATACTTGCGCTAAAGGTAACTTTTTGACTTGTGGCAGGGACATAATAATATTATAAACAGAGGGGAACGGAAGTTTTTGTGATAGGTAGGGCCTAGAGATATAGTATACAGTGGCAATATGGGACTGCGAACGCCCTTTCTATAGGGGGTTTCGGGCGCATGCTCCCGCGGAAAAATTTTTGAGATTGAAGTTCTCTGAGATGCAATCTAGTCCATTCTGGACGCTTAAATTTAGCAAATGCCTCGATTCCATATTGAATATGTAATGCTGAAATATTTAATAAACCATAAAAAGGGTGGGGAAGAGGGGGGGGGGGGGGGGGGGCTTGTTCCACCCCTAAATCTGCCCGTCATAAATACAAACCAGTGTCTCGATCACCATCTGAAATATCGAGATTTGTAAATAACTTCTGCTGTGTTGAGTGTTTATGATTATTTTGTCGCCGTGTTGGTGATCAGAATTTTTATAAAGGCTGTAATTTTAAGTAGCCCTCTTAACTTGCAGGCAGTGGTTTATAAGTAAACATAACTCCTGTATTTAACTCTACTGTATCATTTGTTGCATAAAAATTTTCTCATCTGTATGCTAAGCACTGAATGCTACCAAGTAAGATCATCTTCGTTGCCTTTTGTTATCTACTTCAGAAATCGACGAGTGTACCAGCAGTCATCACAGGTGTGATGCAAGCGCTGCTTGTCAAAATACCGTAGGCTCATACATTTGCACTTGCAAAGCTGGATTCTATGGAAATGGAAAAAAGTGCTTTGGTAACTATCACAACTCTTTTTCATTTTTTCTCGACCTTTGCATTCCGGTTGCCTGTTGGGTTAACATATTTAACCTTTAACCTTTTTTTTCCCAATATGTAAAATTAATTAGGCACATAAAATATCTGTTAATGGCACATTTAGTGTCCTGTCGGCTCCTTCTGGGCTCAGTTTTGACATTTATTGTATGCATATTTTTTGTTCAACTTGTCCATCAGTTGCTTAAACTTACCGTACATTGCCATACGTCGAAACAAAGTAATAAAAAATCACCAACATAATTTACTTAGTCTGGATTTACTGACTATTCAGATTATTATTTGTTGTCCCCGTCATTAGATATAGATGAATGCAGAAACAAAACTCGCACCTGTGATGTGAANCCCCCCCCCCCCCCCAGAAAAGGATAGAAGTGTTCTCGATACATATATCCAGGTTACCTTGTTCACGAGGTTTTCCGTCGGCACGTTTTCAAAGTGTACTCGTAATTGAAAAAATACAATGCGAAAATAATTAATTATCATTACTTGTAAGTACTCTATCAATTTTTCTAGTCGATGGCCCTTTAAATGAGTGCCGACCACAGTTTGTAATTCCCAAGATATTGTTGCGCATGTTTTCACATAAGGTAAAAACTGCTTCAAACCTGCAGGCTATTCATTTCATATGAATAATTATTTAACAGGAACATCTACGCCATTTAGAAAATTCTTCATTAATAAAGTACATGAGTAAAATGAATTGAATACTTAAAAAAATGGAAAATTAATTGATATTGTCTACAATTTATGTTGTTTAGTACGAAAAGCTGGTCCAATTTACGAATATTTTACCTAAATATAGACAGTTAAGCCAAATTTGGTAGGTACTTAGCACCATTATTCTGGACCTGAATTTCTTACATACCTCTAGTTTGTTATACTAGTACAGTGTCATGCTTGCAATACAGTGTATAAAAAAACAAGTATTATTGTTGACTTAATAAACTGTAAAGTGGCCATATCCTGCCAAATGTGGAATTATATGCAGTGTTAATGTTACATCTTCCAGCTTATAAGAACTGTGCTGAACTGTACAAAGCTGGAAAACGAACAAGTGGAGTTTACAAGATCGACCCAGACGGTGCTGGTGCCTTTGACGTGTACTGTGACCAAACAACAGCCGGTGGGGGGTGGACAGTGTTCCAAAAGAGACTGGATGGCTCGGTTAATTTCTACCGCGGCTGGAACGACTACAAAAAAGGGTTCGGAAATCTGAATGGCGAGTTTTGGCTCGGACTGGACAAAATTCACCGCCTGACAAAAACTAAAAACAAACTTCGAGTGGATCTGGAGGATTTCAACAGAAACACGGCTTATGCCGAGTACAGCTACTTTGCTATAACAGACGAGAGAAGCAAATACAAGCTGAGTCTTGGAACTTACTCCGGTAATTGTGTTACTTACTTAATTAAACATGAACTGCGAGCAGTCTCTCTTTTTCTTCCGGTTTGGTAAGGGGAGTGCAGGCGCGCGCGAGCGGCGAAGCCGCGAGACGCGCGAAACGAGGGTGGCAGCCGCGCCAGCAGTCACGCGCGTGGCCATTTGAGTGTCTCGCGTTTTGTTCGACGGACTACAGAAATAAGAGAGACTGCTCGTAGTCTAAATTAATAATGGAGTTCGGGGGAAGAACTTTTAAGGCCCAAGTTATATTAATGCCAATGATTTTGACGTTTAAGAAATAAAGACTCACCACAGAGATACAGCTAGTTACAGATACAGTGAAGTATGTAATAATCACACAGCCATCATAAAATAAGAGTGAAGCAAAGTAATATCATATGGAGCGATAGAGTGATTTTACTTCGACCATGAAACGGATTCAATGTTTATGTTTCCTGCTGTCTTTAGATCTTAACCATTGTATTGAAAATCACAGTTATGTGGAGAAAAATTTAAGGAATATCTTTTCTTCCAATTTCATTTTCCAGGAAATGCTGGTGACTCGATAAGTTATCACAACAGCTCCCCTTTCTCCACTAAAGATCGAGACAATGACATCTGGTCTCGTAACTGTGCTGCATATTACAAGGGGGCTTGGTGGTACCGGGAATGTCATTATTCCAACCTGAACGGCCTCTATCATCGCGGTAGCCACTCTTCACATGCTGATGGTGTGAACTGGTATCACTGGAAGAGAAGTTACTATTCCGCTAAACGAGCTGAAATGAAACTCAAACCAGTCAACTTCTAACCAACAAAAAGCGGTTGTCAGTGCTTATATCTGCTTGATTCGCAATGGTTGTTTAAATAACTTAGCTGTAACACATTTTGTTAGACTGCTCCTGAAATAATAAATTAAGCATAACAAACTATTGTCACAGATTTGATAAAAAAAAAACTATGAAATAAAGGATGTTACTATTAGCTTTCGCAATTTACGGTATTGTTTCTCATCTATACTAATTGCCTTCTGTCCTATTAGTCTTAATTTCTTCTTCCGATTCACTGAACTTAATGGTTTTTTAAATACTTCTCTTTATATATGCGTTATGGCTCAGTCAATTCCAAGCATATCGGAAACACTCGTGAACGCCAAACCACAACGACAAACCCGTGAGGGTTCGCCGGATCTTTAGTAGACCTGGATCAGTAAAATCTTGAGTACCAAATTTTAAACTTAAAACAGTAAACTGATTCTTAGCAGGAAGAGTGATAGAAACGCTTGGAATTGGCTGAGCCATTATTGACCGATGGCTGGATATTAGCTAAATTTTTATTGACCGAGGCGAGGCCAATATACAGGCATCTTGATTGAACTGGCTTGGTCAATAAAGGATTTATTATATAGGCAAAAAGACAACATTTTCTTGGGGACCAACGCGAGAAATCCCGAGCCCGCTTGGTTAGCCAAACAGAACTCAGGATTCGTTTCATCTTGCCCACTCACGGATTCAGCCATGCATATAACAATTGAACACTAGTTCACGAGTTAAATTACAGCCCAGGGTTCTTTTGATTAACTTGCGCTCTCGTATACGATAGACGTGTAGAAACTTTTAGCAAGGGCATCCCGAACAAAACTAAACTAACTTTCAAGAGATTTTTCACCTTACCAAAAAGGGCAAGTGATACAAGCACGCGCATTGCATATCAATTACTCATTGAGCACTGAAATAAGACCTGAACAACGAACAAGGAACATTTCAGTTCACCCAACAGCATTTCTGGTCATTTCAGGCTGTCTTATCGTACATTAAGCTGCTGTCTACAAATTAAAGGTTTATTATGTTTATTATATCAACTTTTCTTTAACATTTCACTCATTGAAGCTATCTTTTCGGCTTTTTCGAAATGAACTGTCTTCAGAAATACGAAAAAAAAAAACAGAAAAATATAGCTTTCTGAATTCATTCATGTAGAGATGTGCCGCGCGACCTTTCCGGGTTAGGGGGAGGCACGGAAATTAGGTAAAAAAAGGTGATATCGAACTGCATTGAATCATCATAATACATGACAGATTTTGTGATAAAAGAGCTATTTTTCTTTAAAGTCATATCTCATCTAACGATGTCGAACGAAGAGCCATACAGAAAAAATACTGGCTGTTTCCTTTTCTTTTCTCTAATATCTTCAGTGACAATCAGTTGTCAGTTAATTGATGGAACGCGCAAACGTGGATGTACATTGTATAACTGATTTCAATTAATTCTGGTTCACACAGTTTTTCAGTTTCCACTTTTTATAAATTACATCTATATGACGCTTTAATAAGAGCAAATATAAGTTCTATGTGTCACGTGTCAGGATTATCACACCACGGTGTTTCTTGTACATTGCAGTGCAAGTTCACGTTGAGAATCACGCACGGTGCCCCATTAACAACAAGATCAGTCGTTTTAGCAATGTTGTACTTGACTGTTGTAACTCCTGTTTCCCTGTCTCTCTGAAACGATACCTGAAAAGACAACACGAACACAAACAAGGAATTTCAAGATTTCAACTCTAAAGAATGAAAATTCAGATCAGGAGGGTATCTAATAACATCTGAAGACTTAACTTCAACGGCTTAAAAACGGCGCGATTATATATTTTCTCCTCGATGTGAATGAAATTTCGGCCTATGATAAACGTTATGCTACCGTTTGAAAACCAAGAGGTAAACTAGCCTGCGCGAACAAGCTCCCTCGATTCGGGAGGGGGCATCGGGGACAGAGGGAAAAAGAACGAGCGCTTGGGCGCGCGTCTCAGTAATTTTATATCTGCATTGAAAAAGTGGACGCGAACGCCATTGAGCAAACGTACTTGTGTAAGAGCGAAAGTTGGACGGGAAGCCTCCTGTTCCCGCCACAGCTTCTGCGTTAAGCAAAGAAATGCTTACTACGCAGAATATTCCAAACAAATTTAAGTTTTCAATTGGACGTAAATTAATTGGAATTTCTCAATAGATGAAAAAAAACTGTCTTGACAGTTTTGACTGCATTGGTGAAAGGCGATGTGAAGAAGAGAAACAGTATTTTAGGTTTTACAGAAAATCCAATTCTTTTTTCACGGCAATACCCAAGGATTTTCATTCAGAAGGAGCTCTAACTGTGTACCTCTTATTAGCCGCCAAAAAAAACTAACACAAAAACAACAACAACAACAAAAAATGTGATCCGTAATTTATAGGATTGGAAGTTACATCGCGGGTAGCAATATATATATCATGTGACTTTCTGTTTGTAGAACAAGATCTTGGTGCCTTACAAACGATTTTACAGAACAAGCAAATAAAAACGCACTACATGATTCTCTAAGTTGAAAAACAAAACTATTTTATCGTTTTGATGGCTTTTTCGTAGATAGGCGCACTTGTAGCTGCATGATTGAAGAAAAAAGAAAGATCTTTTGGTCCGTACACAAGTTACAGAGCGAAAATTTACTAATCACAGATCGCGAGATGACTTAACCAAGGTATAAACAGGTATCAGTTACCTACATGTAACTGTGTACCAACCCACCTTCTTCTGGTCATAAAACCTTGCGTAGTCTCGTTTTCTTTTCTTTGGGTCATGATCGTGTTTAAACGTTTCATAACCAGTCGTTATTTGTTTGCGGCTGTGGCGATAAATCTAAAATCAATATCAACATCGTCAAACGGTATTAACCTTAATAGCCACGTGAAAGAAGTAAGAGTTTGTAACGAAAAAAATTGTGACATTTGAGATTATCAGCCTAGGGTACTTATACAAGGGGAGATGGAAGTAAATGGGATGTGGAGAATAGTGAACATTGAAAAAACTTTGAGACCTTCCCCGCCTCTGCCTCCGTTCCACGCTCCGTTCCCAGTTCCGTTCTCCGCTCCGTCCTCCGCTCCGTTCCACGCTCCGTTCCCCGTTCCGTTCCCAGCTACGTTCCCAGCTCCATTCCCCACTCCGTTCCACGCTTCGTTTCCCGCTCCGTTCTACGCTCCGTTCCCAACTACGTTCCCAGCTGCGTTCCCCGCTCCGTTCCCCGCTCCGTTCCACGCTCCTTTCTCCGCTCCGTTCTACGCTACGTTCCCTGCTCCGTTACCCGCTCCGCTCCCTGTTTTAAGTTCTGTTCATTGTAGACAAAAGAAGACTAAACTCTATCATCTGATCACTCTTGACAATTATTGAATTAGTAGTACACCATTGATCTCATATAGACGCCCAAGGTTAAGCCCGGTTGTCCGCTAACAGTTCCCAGCAGTATACTAGACTTAACTGCTATACTAAACAGCTCGTATTTTCGCGAAGGACAAGAACGCGCGAGCAGTAAAACGAAAGGTCTGGAGCGAGGATGAAAACGGAGAGTGAGACAGGAGAAGGACTCTTCCCCTCACCCAGTTGATTTTGAGAAAACTGACAAACTGACGAAAGAACTGACTGTTTTGCACAACCTACTAAAGATTTTTGCTTTCAGCGACTGGAAAACCCAGTTTTAGCACAGGGTCCAGAGGGGTTTCGTGTGAATAAATGAATTACTTATTTAAAGTCTCACCTTGAAAAATCTCTATACCTGTCGCTTAGCACGATTAATTAGCCCAATGGGATCTTTATGAATCTACTGTAAACGATTTCTTCGCTTCTTATCTGACCCAGATCGACTTTGTTGCTCGCCATTTTGAAAATCAATAGCCGCAAGCCATATCCTCGCTGGCGCACGGCACGTCGCCCGAGGCCTGAAGTGCCGAGTAAAAAAGAGTATTTTATACTGTAAGCCGATCTTGCGAGCCCTCAGTCTCTTGGTTTGCGGTCTGTAACGCGATCAAAAGAACCCATTTTTCAGGATTTTTCAGAGGTTTTCGACGGGTTTTGATGTTCTAACGACAAACACATCTCCTCTGCGCCCTGTGGTTTTAGCACTTCAAACGAACGCCGGTCACTTAGGATTCCAAAGATGCAGCACCATCATCCCGGCATTGTGAGGGTATAATCTTGTCAAGTTTAACCCTTAACAATTTCATGGGCTCCACATTGTTCCAGTAGGAGAAGCAGCAGAGAGGTTGGTATTATCAATTTAGTTGATTCAGTGCGTGAATAATATAATATAGGCCACAACAGAGAGATCTACTAACATTACTGGAGTTAAAGTTCTGTTAACGGACACTCCCGTGAGCAGCCGTCCACTCTACCTTCTTACCAAACTGCTAGTAGCAGCTTACGACTAACGATAGAGTTGCTACAAGTCGACCTCTCATAAGTTCTTAAAAGTGAGCGAAGCGAGCTTCAATGCATGAGGTCGCTCAACGACCGAACGAGCGACAGAAAAAATGCTGGACTTTTAGAATGTCTAGATCAGACTAACGAGGATCATTCCTATATAAAATGGCCACTTCCAGTTACGGACCCTGTTCTTGCGTTTTCCAGGAGTGTCCTCTTGCACGAGCTTCAGCGGGATTAATAATATTATTACTTACTGATAATTTAGCTTCTTTCATTCTCAAATACAGTTCATCATCTTCACGTCCCCAACCCCAAAATTTGTTGGAAAGTCCATTGACCTAAAATAAACAAAGAATGATGTTGAAGTCATATATTGCAAATTAAAGTTATTGAAGTTATATCAAATAAACCCGAAAGGTTTTTTTGGTTTTTTTGCAATTGCTTAAATTGCAATAACCATAGCGACCATTATATCTGAGCATTTATAATATTTCCTCAGTTCACATCATCTTAACGCTTCATTCCTTTGACGGGTTAAGATCAAAACTCAACAAATTGGCCTCCCTCAATGTATGGGTCTTTATAGTTCAAATGGTAGAGCACTGCAGCGCTAACTCAGAGGCCATGAGTTCGAATCCCGTCGAAGTCCCGAAAATATTTTTCGGGTTATTTGCTTAAACTGCAATAACCACTGCGGCGATCATATCTTCATTTTCTAAAAAAACTTAATATTTTGTGATTAATTTGTGGTTACAGAACAATAAATATACTTCAGGGGACACCTTGTTCTAAGTTAAAAATTAATGATAGAAAGAAAAGCCCAGCCAAACATCAGGAGCATTAGGCAAGTAGTGAGTGAGAGATCCAAGAAAAATGAAACTAAACATTTTCCAATAGTGTATAAAGCAACAACTCCAACAATGGAATCTTTTCTTTTTGAGTTTACTAATTTTGGCCGTGACAGGGTTAAGGACACTAACTCTGATGGCCCTGACAGTGTGTGCAATAAAGAAAGGTTTTTTCTCTATAGCAAACACCTAACCATTTGCCACCAAACAGTAGAAATCAGTCTGGATCTTTGCCTGGAGTATCTTTATGCTGGTAAAATAGAACAAGAATGACCTACCTTTTCAAACTGTGCCACTGACATTAACAGAATTCCTCCCACAAATGTTTTGTAGTGATATTTTGGGTGTAAAAATGGTGCTGATACATGGAAAGGTCCCTTCTCAGGGAATCCATAATATAAGTCTTTGTTGAGTGGAAGTAAATCCACATCATGCATTGCTATGTAGTCACAATTATTCCTGGCTTCCAGAAATCCAACATTTAAAAGAGATGCTCTGTTAAATCTGCAAGAGGATTACGGTAGTAGCTGATACAAACAAAATGAGAATGACGCTGTCCTCAAAATAACAGTAGTTTCCCAGGTAAAATAGCAGTCAAAACTAACAAAAACCCTTTTTTAATCTAAATAACACAGCCAAGATTCACCCTAACACATTTACTAATTTTAGGGCTGTGCTCTAGCAGAGCGCGGTGGCCCCTGGTGCATAACTTTGCCCTCGGGTGACTAGAAAATCTCAGATTTTTCATACAAATCATATGCTGGGCACCCTAGATTTTACAGTTCCAGAGCACTGCATGGGCTCCCTTCAATTTTCATTAGAGCACAGCCTTTCATGCAACTTAATTTTCACAGTTTTTGCAATAAAAATTCAAAAAAATGTTAATTATAGATGTCACAAGAAAAATAGCAGTGACATGAAATTCAATACCGTACAGCTTCATTTCCCAAGGGTCCATTTGCAGAAACTGATGCCCTTCAGCTAAGACACAGCTAGTGAATATCTTACACTGTGAGACATAGAGATTCTTCATGGCATGAAATTAACCTACCTATGCTTATCAACTTGGTTGACAATAAATATTTTATGTCGTACTTTCTTGGCATTTAAATAATTATGCATGTGAGGAACAAATTCCAACAATTCCTCAAATCTGTCTCTGTAAGGCACCACCACCCCAAGTTGATGTGGTCCCCAGTTATCATCAGGGTGGGTACTGTCTAAAATGAAAAAAAAAAACTATATTTTGCCTTTTCACTGATCTTTGTTATCATCCCACCTACTGGAGAGAAAATTCTAAATGACAATAATATTATTGTAAAGGTGGAAATATTCTGCAAATTTGATCCTGCTGGCAGGAAAATGCCAATGACAGACCTACGTGGAGGAGACTTATCAAACCATGCTGAACCATAAAACAGTCTTAGTCGAATCGACTGACTGCAATAATGATGATGATGATGATGATGATATTGCAACTTATTATAGACTGCCTGTAGTGTATTTACCACACAAACCCACAGGTCATCCACCCTTATTTATCCTGTCTCAGGTTAGAGAAGTAACTTATTACAGGTATTAATGACTTCTATCTTCCTCCTTCCAGGCTTTTGATAGGACACCATAAATATGGGTAAATTATACAGAATTTCCAGGAGGTCACAGTATTAGTCCCCAGAGTGTTTTACTGTATATGTAATTTCTTGTGGATAATCCTTGAGGAAAGGAGTCTTGCTCAAGATGCAGAGTTGATTGGGAGGGGGCAGTTATTTAATGGATGATTTAGTGTTTTTGTTGTTCTTGGCATTTTTTTGAAGGGGAGATTTTTCAGAATTACGTCGAGTCTCCCGCATGGATCCCAAGCGAAAGTTCAATATCAACTTGGAACCAGCATAACAGGAAGGCGTCGAAACGACACGTCACCAAGAAAATATATATCATCTTACAACTCTGTAAAGCCATCATTGTAAATTTAGTCTAGTATTTTCAATGAGACCTACCTATTGTAGTGTCTTGCAGAGAATTCCCCTCATCTCTCCGATGTTTTACTGTAACACTGTCCTGATTTTGCGAGTGCGGGAAATCGTGTTCATGTAAAGAACTCGATAATTTAGAGCGCTCAAAATATTGTGAACAATTGCAGTCACTATCACCGAGATATTTCATGGATATCCATATTGTCCCAGCAACTGCAAACGTTAAGTAAAACAGCATCCCTAGGATTACTCCTCGTGGTACAAAAGCCATGGATACCCACTAAGTTACGACTAGTTGGCTCAAATTTAGCCGAATGCAGTGTGTGTTGATACCAGTCTGATCGATCTCAGCTTCTCATAGCAATGTTCCTCCTATACTCCATCGGAAAATTAATGGATGGCCTTGAAAGCAACATGTCTGTAAGGAGTCCCTGATTGAACTTGCTTTTAAGAGAAAGTGCTCCCCTGTAGAATATCTTCCGCAATTGCCATTAGCTTTAGATTTATTATGAATTTTTTTCATCATGACAAATTGTTGTAAGCCCGCAGTTTAACAGCGGATAAAATCATTGCGCATGAGCAGTGAACTCCACGTGCTTGGGGAAGGAGAGGGAAGGGAAACGTTCTTCGTGAACTACGTTGTGAAAATGGTGTGTTTTATTTGCAATGCGTGTGGACAAACCGTCAGGAAAGCTCAGGTGGAAAAACATTATCAAAACGAGTGCCATAATTGTAATGTTTTGTCGTGTATAGATTGTGGAAAGGACTTTCATGGTGACGAGTATACTGGCCATACTTCTTGCATCACAGAGGCAGAGAAGTATCAAGGAAAATTGTATAAACCAAAAGATAAGCAGAACAAAGGCGAACACAAGCAGCAGGAATGGCTTAAGGTGATAAAAATCTATAGAAGTTTGGTCATTAACTAAGGAAGCCAAATTTGCAAGTACGTTTTTAAGGCAGAAGCGTCGCGCCACTTTTTTTTTCTCAGATTTCGCAGGGGAGCGTGCTCCCTTTGGTCACACGTGCGATCCAAATAGAGATGACTGGGGATGAGTCAGGGGAATCAGGCGCAAATCACTCTAGTATCCCACACAGACATGTATTTCAATGTGTTTACGGGGTTAATGCTGTATTACGTTTAAAAACACTGATCATCCAAACTGTGTCTAATATTTCCTTGAATTGAACTGTAGAGAAAACTTTCTATTACAGTCAAACCAGGTCAAGCGTACCCCCCAAGAATACATTAATGAATTTATTATTCAAAAGTTGAATCCGTTGCTAGTTGTAGATTTCAGATTGATCTCTGCATTCTTGCATGTGTAATGAGCTTCATTACGCATGCAGAAATGCCGCTTTGAATTTGACACCAGTTACGGGAACGACTAACGGATTCATTTTTCAAATAATCAATTCATTAATAGAATCTTGGGGGGTACGCTTGACTTGGTTTGACTGTAAATACTACAAACATTGAAGGGAACTCTTTCAATGTAGGTCATGTAAAACCCATTGCTTTCAATGGGCCATTCCTGAGTTCTTGAGACTCTCACTCTCAAAATGAGTCTAACAGCAAAACCTTTGTTGTGAAAGTGAGTTTTATTTGCATGAGAATAAAAAATATTTTTATGTCAATGGCTTTGCACTTAGCCTTGCTATGAAACAGAGGCTTAAGGCAACTCAGAAATAGCGTATTCACAAATTATATAATTTATTATTTATGTACCACTTTCACTGCATTATGTTCTGCATCCCTGCAGGGCTCGATGTTGCGACCTGTGGGGTCGCCAATGCAACCAGCTTTTACACAGTGGCGACTAAATTTTCACGCCTGGCGCCAACCTGGCCCCCAAGATAATTGACTTTCTTTTCTGGGAAAACTTACACTAATGATAATCTGTTATCCTGCAGAAAACTAACGGATAGCGAACGGTTTTTCTAATGCTCAAACGGTTTGTCCAAACCCTGTAATGATTTGTCTAAATGCTTTAAAGATTTCTTCTAACAATCTAACAGATTGTTCTTAAGATCTAATGGTTGGTCTGTCTAACATTTGACTTTTACTTGAAAGAGGATTGTGAAAATTCCATAGAAGTCTTGTCGACTTTCGGGCAAATCAATCGCAATTCTTAACGGGTCGTCCCGTGTTTCTCTGGGAATGACTTCTAGCGCATCGATCAAAAACAATTTCTTTACGTCGAACATGTATCTCGAATACAGACTCGATAGCAGAATCGAGAACGAACAGCACTTACTTCTAAAGCTTCTTGTAAAGAACTTTATGCAAATTTCTCTTGAGCATGGGACCCAAATAAAAGCTCTGCCTCTAAAGAAGTACCGTTGAAGTCATGCTTTTTGTCGAACAGACTTGTCACGAAATCAACTTCTTTGCGAGAAAACATTAGCAATGTTTCCTCTTTCTGGAGACTTTTGATCGATCATGTGCTAGGCAACGAAATAGACAAAGTTTTAAAATACATGGGACGCAAAACAAATGTTTGCAGATTTTGTTCTTTAATAACCCAAATAAGTTTTTTTGTGATTCCTATTTAGTTTGTTTATCTAAATGTGTATTGATTCCATTTCTTGAACCTTAAGCTTGAATACCTGTTTGAGTAGATTTACGCTTGAGTGCAGGCTAATTTTCCCGAACACTGGCTGGTAATCGAACCTCGAGCAAAAACCGTTCATAAAGTATTCTTTTTCTGTTAAGGCTAAGTAAAATATGTTAAGTTTATTGTATCCCATTAATTCTTAAATATAATATTTGGCGACTAGAATACTTGTTCTGGCCACCAAAAATGAAAACTTGGGGGCCAGCTGGCCCTGAGATTTTTAATCCGAAAGTCAAGCACTGCCCTGTAATGATGACTTAACTTAGGACACCTAATGATCACCTCATAGAGGATGATTATAAACAAGTTACTCAGTCTGAACAGGGAAAAAATAATATATACATGAAGTTCTACATTATAGAGTACACTGTAAAGATATGCCTGCTCACTTCAGACAGTATACATGTACATGTATTTTAATGACTTGTGATTTGTGTGTTTGCAGCAAATCAGAGAGGCAACAAAAGCAGATGTAGTTGAACCGCGACTTGCTGCCCTGCTAGATAGAATCAGTGAATATTCTAATATTCCAAGAAAAAAAGCCAAATTCCAAGTAAGTGACAATGTGATTGATGTTGGTGATCAGAATGGAGCCTGACAGATTTCTCTGCTTTATGTTATTGTCTTTTTTTTTTTGACTTGACAGGATTGAATAGCATTCCTATCTTTTTTAACTAACTTTTAGCAAAAAAATGCCATTAATTTATTTATCCACAATGTGTGAACAACCAAGGACAAAAGATTTTGTACTTTTAGGGAGTTCTCAACATAAACTAATAGACCCTTGCTATATTATTTGGATTTTACATGTGCATTGTATCAGGTTCTTCATTAAACTTAATTATAATTATTATTATTAAATAATAATTATCTTGAATTTCAGAGTACTGTGGAATGAAGAAATAATTGCAAAGGAGATCTTTGCAGTTTAAGACACAACTTGTGCCATTGCAAAAAGAAAGCCATTTTCCTTTGTTTTAAACTCATTAATTCCCACATACAGTTAGTAGGCACTGTAAGAATAATTAACTTTGATGAATAAAATACCTGTTATGATGACTTAACTTGGAGACCTTATGATCAAACCACAAACAATGATTACAACCAACTTATTATGTCTGAACAGGTAGAGGTTCCTTAAATAATGATTGTTGCAAAAGTAATTATGCATGACAATAATATTAGGATTTTACATTAATTTGTAAAACTCATGCAGTACTCCACTGTTCTTTTATGCACAGTTCACCTGGAGCTGTCTTTACATTAATTTTGTAACCTTACAGTTCAGTGTCACAATTGCATGTGAAAGTGAATAGTTCCACCTCTTTCATGGGGGAGTCATCTACATGTTTTTGTCCCATAACTTCCATACTGATGCTGTGTATGTCATAATCTGGTTGTCTTGGGTTTCCAGATGTAAATTAATTTTGTTCAAGGTTCTTTTCATTCTTGTTACTCATGTTGTAACCTTTTGGGTTTTGGTGCCAACTTAGGACCAAGTGTTTCTTGTAAAGTAAAAAATTTTCATAGAAAATGAGTTTCTCATGGTACAAAAATCAAACTGCAATGAGCTTTGGAGTCTGATATTTTGTCTTTTGTCTGTCATTTCTAAACAATAGCTAAAAGAATGCAGTATCATTATACGTCATCGGTTAGTGGCTGGGCCTGACCAGATTCTGGACAGATTTAAATGTGCATCATCAGTATGGAATTTTTGGGCCATAGTGAAAGTGGGACCTCAGTTCTTTTGCTGGAAAGGATAGTTATCTCTCAAGTTTCTTTTACTGCCATTTCTAACTCTAGAAATTGACTCAACAGAATTTTTGCAGAAATAGTATCAATGTGCGAGATGTTACAACTCTGGACAAACTATGGGATATTTTTTCAGCAAGTTCAAAGGTAAGAAAAGCTTGCATGTACAGTGGGTGTAGCAATATTTTTAAGCATAAGGAAACATACAGAGCTCTCCTACCCATCTTGGTCCCTGTATTGGTTTTAGTAAAAGATGCCATGTACAAATGTACCGTTAATCCTTATTTATGGTACATAAATTAAGCGAAGATGGTAACATTTTGCCTTAGAAACTAGAACCCAAAGTGGAAAAGCTCAGGCACACGAAGTTGGAGGTGACCATGCAGCCAAAGAAAAAAGTAAATCCAAACTTCTGGCACATGAATAGACCATCCCGGATTAATCCATGTGCTTTTTTACAGTCATGCTTAATTAATACAGTCTATCAATGTTATAAGAACAAGTGGGGGAAGGGGAGGGGGGCTTAAAAAAGAGGGAGAACTCAATAACCTTCTTCCCCTGAAAAGAAGAGGAGGGATGCTTATTAGAGGAATTGTGGTACATGTAAGTAAGAACTGTCTCTTGAAAGTGATGTATTGATGGTGAAGTGATGCATCAGCTGTCATTAATGCCTTATGTATCAGTACACTGTGTATTATTTTAACAAAATTAAGAGTGGAAATAATGATTTTTGTGCTCTTGGAATGACTGTACATCATTGTAATTGGCATTTTTTTCTTAGTGATGAAGTTAAAAGAGGAACCAAAGTACCACATCACCCACTTGTCATATTTTTATCGTGACACTGGACAGGCCAATCAGAGAAGTTAGATTAAGTGTACAGCGTGTCTAGTCTATGTGTTAGGATGGCTTTTAAAACCTGGCTTCTTCATTTTTTAGTTGTATTAAATATAATTGTGTAGGCTTTGTGGTGGCTGAGTGGCTAACACTTACAACATTTTTGTTTTCTTCTCAGCAAAGCCCACAACAAGATGAAACCAGTTGCAGTAGTAATGGTATACATGAAAATGGAAAAAGCGGACTAACATCTCCGCTTGAAGAAAATGTGGACATTAATAGAATATGTGGAGAGGAAATATGGGACAATGAAGAGAACAGAGAACTTGAACAAAAATCAGAGGACTGTAGTAATGCTAAACAATCAAAGAAACACAAGAAAGGTGAAAAAATGAATGACAATGATATACATGAAATAGGATCAGAATTCAAAAGAAGGAAAAATAAAAAGGGTTTGAAAAAAAATACAGAGGTAGATGGACTGAAAGAAAATAAAAAGCAAAAGAAAAAGAGAAGAAGGGAAGATGAAGAATTAGGTAGGTATTAAAGTTTGTGTTTGTACAATTTATTTGTCATAGTTGTTGTATTTTGCCTGTGCAGATAGGCCTTGTAGCCCTATCCCACAGACAGTTGTTGAAAACCACAACATCTGTTTTCCAACTCAAAGCACCTCTCAACCCTGTTATGATGACTTAACTTAGGACACCTATGATCACCTCAAAGAGGATGATTTCAAGCAAGTTAACAGGTCTGAGCAGGGAAAGGAATTAAGGTGTAATAGTATTTTCAATACATGTGAATTCCCCCCAAATGTTGTCTTGCCCATCAGGCAAGTTAAGAACTGAATTCACTAGTAGCCTGATAGTTAAATATCCATTAGCCTTGTGCTATCTGACACTACATGTCCTTTCTTTGGACGCTGGGGACCACAAAAAAGTGATGGCGTTAACAAGGCAGTGTTTTATGCTAGAGCAGAAAGAGTGAGGTGTTTTTGCAAGCCAGGGTTCTGCATTAACAGTGCTTAAATCGTCAAGTGAAGTCAAATACCATTACTAAAAACCAATCTACTGTATGATCTCAATAGGCTATTTAACCCATTCGCTCCTGGAGATTTTGCCGAAAAACGCGTTTTGAAGCTAGTCGAGTGGTTTTCTGGTCACTGTCGTGCTATAAAGAGCTAAAACTTACCACAAACCGCTTTACAGGTCGTACACTTCCCGGCCTTCTGATCCAGATGCAAAATATCAGCTTGCGAAGTTCGGGCATGCGCAGAAAGCAAAATTTCAACATAGTTTTTGGGTTTAAAAGTGACACAGCAGTCTTGACTTTGACTTTTTGCTTTCTCTCCTCCCCTCTTTTTTTCGCTTTTTTGCCTCATTTTTTTTTTCTCTTGCTGGGCATTTAGTAGGCTTCATTTTGGTGGGAATACTTTTTAGGAAAGCTTTTAGGATCTTAGGATTAGGTGAAAGGAAAGGTAGGTGGGCAATGGAACAAGATTTTCATGGAGATTTTCAGGTCAATGTTACATGGTTTTTTGCCTCTTTCTCCGGTTTCCTTGACTGAATTGTGCTCATTCTGGTATGGTTTGAAAGATCTCTTCACTCTGCACAAGTTAGCGGACAAAGTTGTCCTTGACCGTGAAAACTGATGACGTCACAAAGGGTAGAAAGGACGTGGATCCGCACGGGCAGTTACGGGCGTTTCAGGGGCGAATGGGTTAAGGAATTCTGGATTATCTGGATTTCTGCCTTAGATTATCCACTAATAGTCTGCTCTGGGCATTCAGATTTAATGGAGTGTGGAATGAGTCAGAGAGCAGGAAAAAAAGTAGGTAGAAAGATGGAGAAAGAAGATGCTCTCGCTACCTACTTTACATTTTACCCCTCACTGTTTTTCCTGCTTGCATCTCTTTACACCATCCTCACAATCTGAATCCTCGGAAAAGGTTTGTCCACTGACTACATTTACTTGGTTGTTTGATTACAAATCACAGATGAACCCTACACACAGGCCAAAGTTTCAAAGGTTGAAACAGAAGATGCCAAAGAACAGCCATGTAAGTATTTTGATTCATTTTTGCCTCCCCTGGCTCCAAATTGGGTGAAGTTGTCTTTTATTGATAAGGATGTTTAAAGCAAAACACAATTACCATGACCTTCATGCAGCCCTTTGTGTTTAGAGAGGATACTCTGAAAGTCTCATGGGAGAGCTTGAAACTCCGCAAAGTCTCAAAGAAACTCGAAACTCCGCAAAGAGTTCCGAGATTCCACTCGAAGCTTGAAACTCCTTCCTGCTCAAAAGGAAGAGGAGAATGCATGGCGTAATTTTGACATAAATTTATCTCCTTCACACTTCAACCTTACTTCTGCCCTTGAAGTGGAGGACAAATACAAAACTAAAATGGAACAGAAACTGAGAGAGTGTTATGAAAAAAAAAAATTGCCAAAATTGTTAAACATAATTACCAGCAGATTTTTTTGTGTATTTGAGAAACAAAAAGAAATCCAACAAAACAGTATCGTGCTTGCGAAAAGCTAATGGTCAATCTACTACTTGTCCTAAAATATATATATATAAAATTATATATTTTTTTTGGGATTATGTGTTTGTAGGTATTAATAAATAATTTGATGGAATTTACCAGTATTTCTTGTTTTGTTGTTTGTTCAGATCAGTTCAAATGGAAGTCGGTGATAAAGGCAGTGTTAAGACAAGCTCCAGATCAGGAGTTACCCATCAAAAGATTGAGGAAAAAGGTACACCCTTATGAGTAACCAAAATCAAAATATTAGGAATTTCATAATTATTATAACACACTGCATTTGTAAGGATATTGCTCATGTGATTGGTCATACAGGCTGTCACTTTTACAAGGTGGCAAGTCAATAGATTTTAACCTTATGTTACTATTGATGACGACAAAGGTAAACTATTGCTGGGTTTCAAACTTTAAAGGGCAGAGATTTTCCAAACCTAGGGTTTGTCCCCAATTATTGCTACTGCATCTCTTGTTAAATTTTGCTAGCCTGTAAATCCAGCCACATCTCCTTTCCCCTCCCTACGAAGGACGTCCCTGGCAGCAAGGAGTAAAGATGATGTTGCATGAAACGATTCATGACGACGATTTTTACTGCAACTCAGCGTTGCGACATTGTTGTGACATTGTTTCGAATGGTTACAACATTGTTCCAGCATTGCAACGCTGTGTTGCGCTAAAAGTCGTCATTGCAAATCGTCTCGTGTAGCATCACCTTAAGGAGAGACGGCTGTATTCACAGGCTAATAATCTCATATAGACCTGATACACCTATAACTGATTTGAGTTGAAGAGTGTTAGCTAGGCCAAAATTAATTTGTAGTGCACTGGTTAAAAAAAAAAAAGGTGGGAAACCAAGACGTCTGTTAGCCTGCGAAAACAGCCGTTTCTCCTTGCTGCTGAGGACGTTTCTCAAGGAGGAACGTAAGCGACTAAGCGACAGAAATTACATAATGATGACGTAAAATCTGTCCGGAATCCGGTCATAAGCGCTGATTGGATGACAGGGTAGTTACATTGTTTTAAGTATACAAAAGGCTGCAAAGGTCAAAATGTAAACGCGATGAATCTATAACAAAACAGGGAATATTTGTGGAATATATTCTTCTCTAGGAGAAGTATTTGAGTTTTGCTGGAGCTCGTTCACAGGTGAACACAACACTGTACCAAAATCGACCAGGAGAAACGTATAATTGAACAAACATTGGAACCCCTTGACTACTGCATTTACATGTATTATGTAGACGTTGATTTACGTCATCAGTAGGGAATTTCTGTCGCTGAGTCGCAGATGTTCCTCCTCGCGAAACTTCCCAGCGGCGAGGAGCGAGGAGCAAGGAGAGAGGAGAAACGGCTATTTTCGCAGGCTAGACGTCTGTCTGTCTACTTGACTGTAAATGTCTAGGCCCTTGTCCCTGCTATGATGACTTAACTTAGGACACCTATGATCACCTTGAAAAGGATGATTTCAAACAAGTTAACAGATCTGAGCAGGGAAAAGTAGACATTTAAGATGTAAATTATGCTTGAGCACATTTCTAAACAATGTTTTCGATTTTTTTTTTAGGTTCTGGCAGAATTTCAAGCAAAAGGAACAAATGAGAAAAATCTGACTGAAAACGAGCTGCGAGCTTTGTTTCAGAAGAAAGTTTCAAGCAATCCAAAATTGAAAGTTCACAAGGATACAGTTAGACTTGTCAAATAACAGTTGAAAGATAAACCTTTTTAAAATGTTCGTGTTCAATGGTGGCGTTGTGTTCCTTGGTGCTTGTTCAGCCTTTCTAAACAAGGTCTATCTATTGTACTGTAAATATTAATGAAATTTAAGATTTTTTCATATGTGGTGTTGTTGTTTGTTTGGGTTCATTCTTTGTCTACAAAGACTCATTTATTTTATACACACCAATGGAAATGCCAAGAAATCTTTCGCGTATTTTCGCACGTGACAATAACAAGTTGTCTTCACAGGTTTATAGATCTGCTATGGTTACATGAAAAATCACGCCTTTTGCACCAAAAAAAAAATATTCAAGTTAAATGGTTTGGTATTTGTACGGCACTGCTGTCTGAGGAAAAACCTTCGCCTCAGTTGAGAACGTCCTTCGGCGACGGGTCTTGGGCCGTACTAAAATCCTCGACCAGGGTGTTTTCTATAGGGGGGGAGGGGGAGGGGGCATCTGTATCGACCTCTCAGTCGGCAAAAACACAAAAGGACACAACGCGACGGGAAAACTTGACCTGACAGCACTCGCCCGCTAGGTACGCAGGCTCTTCAAATCCCTGGTCCATTTTGTTATACTAGTATCGTGGAATTGGGAATTTTTTTTTTTTGGGGGGGGGGGGGGG